TTATTACTTTTATTATTAACATCAGGGCAAAAAACAGGAGTAGCACAGTGAATGTGCAAATGTAGGATGACAGGAAACCCTGTATATCTGTAATTTGCATTTATGTTTCTGTGATATCCATTAACTGGTCATACATGTTGCCCAGGAATAAGATCAAATTCTTCTTCAAATCATAAGAGCCATCGCTTCTTAAGATGTCTTCACTGCAGTCAGCAAGTCTGAAGTTTTTTAGCATCTTTGGCTTTAATCTGACATCTCTGTACTACTTTCATTTCATTTTTAAGTGCCATAAGGTTAAACTCCTTGAGTATTCACTTAGATATCATAAATGTGTTGTCATTCAGTCAAGAATATGGCTAGATTTATGATAACCAGCTGGATAAACGTTTCTTTTGAAGGAAATTTGCAGAACTCTCTTGCTGAATATTCAAGAAGTACAATAAAACTGGTAAGAGACATGATGGATGATCAACAGTCTGCTTTGGATTACCTTTCTAATCAGGTACTTTTTTCTTATCAAAAAGATTTGTATTTGTTATTTCTTACTGCAGGTTGTGTCTGAGAGAAAATAAGTATTTATGTCACCATTAAACTAGTAGAATTAGAGTCTCTGTCACTATTCCTTGTACCTCAGGTAGAGTGCAAGCTCCATTTCTATGAGTGATAAGCACCACCTGTTTCACAACTAGTTGTGTTTACGTCATAGGTTAAGCAGAGGACTATTCATTCACATCTGTTGCCGTCTCCAGTCCTGTTGCATTTGTGCAGATAATATTATTGTTAACTTTGATAGGAGTTTACAAACACTGTGCATCACTCAGTATGGCTAAAAAGCTTTACTCAAAACTGAAGGACTTTTTTGAATTAACCAGCATTGTGCCTAAAAATTATTTTGGGTGGAAAAAGTAAAAAATCAGGTCTATTCACCTAATGAAGGTAGGAATCACTAACACATAGCAAAAATTAACTTCAGATTGTATTTACTAGGAGTAAGAAAAATCTTTAGAGTGTAAAATTCCCATTGCAGCCTAATTAAAGACCTTTTAATTGAATTTGCAGGTAAATGAGCTCATGAACAGAATTGTTCTTTTGAATGCAGCAGTTTTGAGAAAACATTTGGATACACATCCTTACAAAGCAGTTCAATCTCATGGTAAATATTTTTCAGATATAGTCTTTATCCATTCCCTTTTAATCTTTGTATCTTGACAAAGGACTAATTAGAAGAAAAGTACGCAATTTCAACATTTATATTTATATTGTGTTAGTAACATAAAAACCCTGGAAACTTTATGAGCTGTTTAAAAATGTGATCATCAATACTGCTTTAAATCATTTGCAAGTGACAATTCTGAGCATCCTGTTTAGCATCTAGTTGATTTGTATCAAAATACCAGGTATGATGATCAGTTAGTAAGTGATCTGATGTTGCTAAATTACACTTTCTTTTGCAATGACATAAAGTGTGCTGTGCATCTGCAATATCCTTGTTTAAATGGGATGTCAGTCACTTGTCAACTGGATAGTTAATCTTTGAGGTGCCCATCCTAACTAAAGGAAACATTACCTCTAACCAGTCATGCTGGCCATGGAAACTGCTTGTTTGAGTATGTTTAACATGTAACTGGCTTAACACTTAGGCAAATTTTTTTATGCATACATTACAATGTAAAGGCTTAAAAAACATAAATACAAAGACCTGTAGAAAAAAAGTATCATTTCCCAGATAATGACTTTTTCTCAGTGCAAGTATTATAAGTAAAAATATCCATAAAATGATACATAATCTTTAATTTCTGCATCATATCTATTAAGATTAGAAAGAGTTTTCTCTATGCAGGGTAAATTATACTTATTTCTGGGATTAATGGAGTTCAGAGAATTTTTATTTATAAGATGAGCTCATGATGAAACATGATTTTAAAGTTTGCATGAGAAAAAAACACTCTTTGAAATAATTTATATGTTGCCAATAAAATTAATATTTCTGTGTTTAATCTGTATTTTTTAAAGACATTTTGCTAATGGACTTCATCAAATACTTTGTCCTCTAGGGCTGGACTGCACTCATATTAAAGATACTGTTGGTTCAGTTTCAAAAACTCCAAGTGGTCTGTACATTATCCATCCAGAAGGATCAAATTATCCTTTTGAGGTAATATATTTATCTCTCAGGATAGTCACAATTTGATTGAAAATATGCACTTAGAATATATTTAATAGATTTAGAGTGTTTTCCTTGCGTATTTCTCAACAGATGAATAAGAAATGTTTTAAATCAGCTGAATGTTTCTGCTGTTACTATAATTTTGACAAGTTTCTCATTTTTTACAAAGGAATCTTATCTGTCATAAGATCCCATCAGTAGTTTTCATATACAGCGAAAAATGTACCAAAGAGGAGAAACCAAAGTGTTTTCTAGCACCCCCTTTGGACAGTGAGAAGTGCTGTTCTTTTCTACTTTCAAGATGAAAAACTGAAGAACCAATTGACTGATCCTGTTGGCTCCTAAAATGGGACTTTTGGCTTTTACTCTTCTGGATACCATTGCCTTCTCTTGTGAAGTGACTCTTTGGTCATCTAAATATAGGTGCAGATGTGCATTAATTTGAGGCTTAGCTTTTGTCTGAATATCATTATAACTTGGTCTTGAGGCAGAGTGGCATCTAAGATTTTAGCTTTCATATGCAGTTTGCAGGATATACATTCTTAAGACAAACTGCAGCAGTCATGCTTCCTAACACCTGCACTTTATGTAATTGCTCAGAGTTATAGTGCTCACCTATAAAAAGAGAATTTTGGCTCAATTTCCTTAGGCTCAGGACATTCAGATACATGCAAACACAAGGAATACTTTGTTTTGTGTGTTTATTTCCATTTCAGGCTCTTCTACTTAGAGAAGTCTTTGTTCATAGTGGAAAGGCAGATAGGGCACTTTCAAACCTTTAATTTTGCAGTACATGCTGAGGTCATTAGTGTTTGAAGAAAAAAAGTGCAATTTAAGCCAACTACTAGATATCAAAATTTAATATCTAACTTTATAGTCTTCCTTTATATATAACAAAGGAAGGATGAATCTCTTTATGTCTAGCCAGTTGGAAACCTTCAAAATGCTATGAAAAAGGAGCTCAAATTGGTTATGAAAAGGCTTCAGAAGTATGCTGGGATCTCAAAAGAAAAAATGAATGTGATGCACAAACCCCTGATAGAAAAACCTACCATTCTCTCTATAAAGTGCAGCGAGTTCAGGAAAAAGATCTGTAACTCATCAGCCAGTTCCTTCAACATGAAAGAAAGGCAAAGACATGCAGAAGTGTTGACAGAACCACCATGCTTATAGTATGAAGAAAATGCTGTCTGTCTCACCCCAGGATGAACCACAGTGCAAAATGAATCTGTTTCAGAATTTCTTCTGGATTGAGGAGGATTCCATTGAGAAAATATTCATACCTCACCCAAATTACTTTTCCTGAGAGATGGTATGGTTAATCTATGTGAGAAAAGTGATTTCTCAGTTCACTTGTAGCTTTTGGCAAATAAACCTTAAATGATAAAGTTCCTTTTCCTTCAAAATTATTTTTGATACTTTTCCACATTTAAAGTTACTGCCAGAATATGAAAATCAGTTATATGACTGGAAAGGTTCCTTAAGGAGAATAAGAAACAAAAAAGACAAAATCATAATAATTTGACTGAAAGAACAGGGTAACAATAAATAATGAGAAGAAACAGCTGCATTCATGAAATGAGTGTCTCATTTCTTGTCTGGTAGATGCTGAACAGAACTTAAAAGTCAATGCCAAAAAGTTCTCAGAGAGAAACATCTAAAGTATGTGTTCCATAAAGAGTGTTATTTTAAGGAAAACTATTTAATGTAAATTATTCCACAGGTTGAAGCATAAACAGGGTACAAGAGAAATGATAGATGAACAGAAATATCAAGACATTAAAGCACAAATGAGAAATTATAATGCATTTTTAGGGGCTAATAATCAAGAGTTCTGAAAGTTCTGCAGACTAGCAAAATTAGAACAAATACAAAGAGGCAGAAAACTATAGTAAGGAACTAAAAAAACCAGGAAGCCAAGGCAATATGAAACAATTTATTCCAATGAAGACTTTTCAGCTATAAGCTGCTCTTTAAATGTAATGGACACTGAACAAAAATGTGTTTAGGATCATTTGCATACAGGTCCCAGATAAATGAAGAAAACTGTTTACACAACTTGATCCTGTTCTCATGTTTTAATGTTTGAAACTTCATGTTTTCAAAAGGGATTATAGATTTTGATGCATAACTTGGGCTAATTGAAACCTGAATTTCAGGAGCAATAAGAATTTTCCAGTTTCAGTGGTATTGGCAAGTTCTTGTCATCTCAGAAAATTTGCCCCAAATATAGTTTTGTCTGAGCATTTAAACACCAGGCAATTAAAATAAATTTCACTTTTGGAAAACTGAGTCATGACTTTCTGACACATTTTTCAATGAGTGATCAGTGATATTTCAGGGTCAAAGAAATGAAATGGTTGTTTGGAATATGCTTCATTAACACTGAAGGTGGAAAGGGAAGAAATATTCAGTGGAAGCATTCAAGTTAAATTGTACTTGGGACAATCATGGTCCTCATACCTTGCACAATAGGCGACATAGAACAAGCTGTAAAGTAGATAAAATATTCTAAGGTTTTAAGACAAAAAACTGCAACATTTCCAGCATATAAAAGATTAAGAAACTACAAATGATGACTGCATTTTTGTGTCTCTATTTCCTATTTTTACTTAGCTAGTGTAACTAATTGGCTGATGACCTCTCATGTAGAACCAAATCTGCTCCTTCTGAGGATTATCAACACTTCCACTGATTTATATTGGACTTCAGATTGATGTTGTGACCAAGTGGGCTCCTCTTAGTATTTCTGACTCATAATGAGAGGAGTAGCCAAGATTGCAGTCATCCTTTCAAGACAGCAGATGAAGCAATGGGAATATTTTTGTTGAGTTTTAGGTATTTGCATCTAAATATTCATTTTGGAATTTTCTGTATTTCTTTTTATTCCAGTTCCACCCTCTTTGGGTGACTGAAATGAGCACATGATTCTCCAGGGAATAAATCCCACAATTTTCTTTCATGCACATGACCCTTACTATGTTTCATTCAGTATTTGTGCTGCAAGGATTACTCAAAGCATCCAATGGCATTGACTTACTTGAAGATCCAAGTTCCCCAGGTTGTATTAGATCACGTTTCAGCTCTGTCCTGTTGCTTTCTTGTCGTTCATCGAGAAGATGTTTTTAAGTCACTGAGGCTCTATTGAATATCATGTTGATGTGTTCCTGCCGAGGAACAAGCCTGGTTTCATGAAAAATACCTGGCTGGTACTGGAAATAAGGGTGAAATGCTCAGACTGCCACATTTTTTTTTAGGATTAAACTGACTTCCACTAAGATTCTACCTTTATCAACTGGCTAGGATTGCAAATCTCTCTTTTCTGAAACATGTTTCACCATGTATATTCCCTGTAACATTAAAAAAAATTTCTTTCTTGACTCCATCACTTGTGCAGCTGCTTAATGCTATGACACCCAACATTATATTCTGAACTTACTTTTGTTATCATAACTAGCTTAATGACTCCATAGCTATAAGCGTTTTCCAGATTAATTCTCCTGATAGTAGTCACATTGAGAGACACTTACAAATGAGTATCTGTTTTTAAATACTCATGAATGCATAGTATCTCCTCGAACTACCTTGAACAGCTTAGATGGTGCAGTGTCTAAATGTTCAATATGCATCTTTCTACATTGGATTCCCAGACTTTGTAATGCCAGTTAGAACTGGTCAAGATCTGGCACTGAGGACATACTTAGGGAACTCAATTACATGTGTAAAGTTAAATGAGCTGAGGAGAAACTGTGCCACATGATGTGATATTCCAAAGCAGAGCAGAGTGCAGCTGGACCGCTGCCATTTGACATACTGTTGGGCACAAATTTTAGCAAAGGCTCATAAAGACTCATAAATTTGAGTTGATCTTATGTATTCAGTGGGTCTGTTCAGTTCCTGGCTGTTAACTGTTCACATTGGGACCTCCCTGGATTGGGGCCCCTTCTTATGTAGTAGTTTTTTTGCTGCTGCAGCATAAATTATTATACTGTTATTGCTATCACTTTACTTCCATTTCCTCACCTCTATTAAGGGCTCTACATTTCCCAGGCACCAGAAGCACACTGTTTCTCTGGAAGAAGACATGATGGTGAGGGAGAACGTTTAAGAAGTTTTGTCTGTTTTGCTTTGCTGAAATATACAATAGTTTATAATATTATGCCTGATTAATACATGTTGCTTCCATTTCATGTTATTATTAATATACAGTACCATTTATCAAAGCTTATTTATTATATCTGAAATGAGCAGATATTTGTACACAGCAGTTTCTACTGATTGAGGAAACAGCCAAATCAAGCAGTCCAACAAGAACGTATAAGAAAATACTGCAGCTTCATTTTTATTTTCTTTGAGCTTTTAGTTAAGATATCAGAAAGGTATGTTACTTAGCAAAACTCAACAGTTCACCTTTAATGAAAATGTTTTCTTCATAACAGCTGCTTCAAGAATGCTTAAGCATATCTATGTCTATCTTAGGTTTTGTGTGATATGGATTTTCGAGGAGGTGGATGGACTGTGGTTCAGAAAAGAACTGATGGAATGATTCAGTTTCAGAGATCATGGTCTGAATATCTGGATGGATTTGGTGACCTTAACGGTATTAATTTTAAATACTCCAAGTGCTTTGGATCTAACATTTTTGCTGTCTTTGTGTGAGCTACATTCCACTAAATTGCGTGGGATTTTTTGTAGTATAGAGTTCTTGTTTCTTAAAAGTCTTATTTTTACTTAAGGATTTTTTTTTCATCAAATCTGTTGTGTCATCTTCTTGATAATGACTATGACCATACTAGAATCTTTAGCCATTGCCCATTCTCAGTCTCACAAGAGGTGTTTAAAATATGGTATTTTCAGCCTGAAATGATTTATGAATTGTATTTCCTCTTTTTCAAGTTTTTTTTAAAAGCCTGAGTTGGTATGAATCACATTTGTAAAATATTTCCTTAAAGCAGAGAAAAATCAGTAATATTTCACCATAGACATGTGAAATGTGAAACAGAATGGAAATATTTCAGTAGCTAATGGCAACACAACTGTGATATTAAATTTTTATTGCCACCTTTCATCCAGAAAGTCTAAAACCATTTGTTTTGTCAGAAGTTTATCTAGGGTTGCAATGGAAGCACACAGCTTTTCTGTACAAAAGAGCACAGCTCATATGGGTCAACAAGTGTGATTTACAGAGGCAGCAAATCTTGAGAATAGGGTTTGTGTTTTGTTGCATTTCATTGAATGCTAACATTCATTATTTCTCAGTATTGCCCTTAGGAATGCTGCTGAATTCTGTTTATGCAAGTGGATCTTTAATACATACAGTTTTGTGGTCTTCTAAGGTATATTGCAGATGAACTTTTGAAATCTATCTTATGGACAATTTTCTAAAAAATGTCACAGAGAAAAAAGATGATGCACACATGGGAATTCTTTCCATGGATTTTCCAAGAAAGTAGGAAGATTGCTATTTTCCTTCATTAGTTTTTCAAAGGAATAGAAGCCAGTCATACAATTTCTATTACACTTGATTCAGCAAGGAAAGTGGAAAACCAAGAACAATCAATTTTCATTTACAGTTTCCATTTCTAGAATATGTATTATTTTTCTGTTTTAGGGGAATTTTGGCTTGGACTGAGGAAGATTTTTGACATAGTAAACCAAAAAGCTGCTAGTTTCAGTCTTTATGTGGATTTGGAATCTGACAATGACAAGCATGCCTATGCATCATATGATGGATTTTGGATCGAAGATGAAGCATGTTCTTTTAAGATCCATTTGGGGCGTTATTCAGGAAATGCTGGTAAGAACTTCCTTCTTTAAAATGTTTAAAGGTAGCTGCTCCCTTTCTCAATTAATTAAGATAACTTTATTTTTTTTTATTTCTAGTGTGTTTTTGTCTAGTGCATAATGAACACTTATGCAGATAAATGGTTAACGACCTAGTGATTGGTTATGCCGTTAATCTTTACATAGTAGGAAATCACTTTATTACATTGCCTCAATTTCTTAAACGGAATGATTGAATAAACACTCCTTTAACAAAGAAAAAGAATAAAGAAAATAAAGCGTCTTTAATGGTTCAAGTCCACAAAATATACATAACAAATAAGGGATTTTTTGGGTGTTTGTATTTATCTGTATAATATTCCTAGGTGCCTATTATCTCATCCCAGATTTGCTGGTGTTAGTGGAAGCCTTCCTGATGATGTTTTGGTTCATTCAAAAGTGCCCAGACAGCTGTATGCAAAAGACACTGAGTGGAACAAAGTTGGCCTACAGTGTGCAACAGTTACTAGCTGGTACATAGACACAAATTAATTTACAATTCCAGACTTCCCTTAACGACATAACTATGCCAAGTGGGCAAAGATTTGCCTCAAGTATTGCGCCATATCTTACTGTTTTGTTCTATTTTTTTAACATCTTACTGATACACAAGAATGTTCCTTAATACCGGTGAAATAATTATTCACTAAAGGTGTTGGTGCTTTACCTGTATTTGCAAGAAACATTTCTTTAGTAAGACAATAATGGCTGACCTTTGTGTTCTAACAATTCCATCTTTTCTCATGACTCACTCCGGGGCCTTGGGCACATTACTGGAAAATCTGAAATTGTAACCTTTTTTATTTATTTTATCTTTTTTTTTCCACACTGTCTTTGAGAACCGAAGCCTTTACCTTCATAGCCAGTGTGCATCCCTAAATGCAACAACAATATAAAGATGTTTAATCGAATTTCCACTTCTTTCATACTTCTCAGTATCTTATACATTTTCTTTCCTGCATCTTTAACACTTTGCCAGCTCATTATCTATTGCTTTTGAACAATTTTAGTTTTCTAATAAATTCAGAGGAAGTTTCCAAGGTATGCAACAAGCAAGAAATGTTTCCCCGTAAATACCTTTTTTACCCTCTGCTTTATCTGTTGTACTTAGGTGATGCATTTAGAGGATATAGAAAAGAAGATAACCAGAATTCGATGCCTTTCAGCACATTTGATGTTGATAATGATGGATGCAGGCCAATGTGCACTATTAAAGAACAGCCTGTAAAGAGCTGCAGTAACTTCAGTGGCAACACTGGATGGTGGTTCAGCCGGTGTGGCCTTGCAAACCTTAATGGTGTTCATCGCTACACAGGCAGATTTTTTGCAACTGGGATTCACTGGGATACATGGAGGGTGAACAAGAAACCAGTCAAAATTAAATCAGTTTCAATGAAAATTCGGAGAACCTATTATCCATATTTTCATTAACATATGAAAACAGAAAGATGTATCTTCTTGCAATTATGTGGGATGGTGTATCACTGTCATCATAAATACCTTTAATTCTCACCTGAAATGTTTAGTCTTAAAACTTTATTAGATATTTCCATAGTAGAGTTACTAATTTTTTATTGTGAAATGTCAGCGTTTGTAGTGTTCCTGCTAGGTCCTAAGAAGAACTGGGTTTTCAGAAAATGGATTAAGCTTAGTGTTTGTCAGCTTTTATTCAACTGCCTCTTAGGCAATCTCAGAAACAGCAGAAAAAAAATATAAAAAGGAATGTAAGGCTGACTTTTGGAAGTGTTTTTTTCTATGTTTTCTGTATATCTGAATTGCCAAGAAATTTCAGCAAATTTTCTTTTAGAAACCCACATACCTGTCATTTCCTTCATAATATTGTGGAAAAATATCTTTACTTCACCTTAAGTTAATTTTCCAGAATCAGCTCTTCTTTCTATATCCCTCATCAGGCAAGATTGCTCCCTTGTTTCAACGCATGTGTAAGGTTCTGTGTACCTTCAGGGCCTGTTTATTATACAAGTAATGTGGATACTGACATACAAGAACTATGAGCTATTTTGTATTGAATTTTCAGTCATGTGGAATAAAACCAGTTGAAAACTGAGTTTGTTGTCTTTCATTTCGATCAAGTAGCTATAGGAGGAAATGGAGCTTTTCACAGGGTATATTGCAAGGTTAAGAGAGAGAAAACATTCTTCATTTCTTCTATGCTTGACTAGTCCTTAACAATTGCAGGTAAAAAGTTGCTAAAAGCAGGTTTCTCTCTACTAGAGAGAAACTGAGGACTATCCTTACAGTGGAGGTCTACAGTAGAAGCACAGTAGGAAGTAGCTTGAGGAAAAATATCACAGGTCCTGTGGAGGGATTGTGAGAAAGGGGATAGTTCCAGCTCTTCAAAGAGGCTGAATTCTCTGAGCACAGGGGGATTTTGTTGTCAGACACTGTAGTCTTTGAAATTAGAGGTGAAGAGCTTGTACACCCTCTTTAACCCTCCCTCTCACTCCAGGCTTATTAAGAACACAATCCCTTTGAACAGCAAAGTGCACCCAGCAGACCTATAAAGGTAAATACTAAAATGAAAGAGCTTCTGCACTAAGATTAACAAGCATTAGAGCTTAAAGAGAGTATTAATTCTGGCTGCAAGCCTGGATGTTTTCACTGTATTAGGGCTCTTATGTCATAAAGAGTCCTCAAGCTGCAGTACAACAATCCTACTGGAGAATGCCAGTGGCTAAATTTCATGGAAATTTAATGGCTTTAACGAAAGCCTCAAACTTTGATGGTGGGGCCTCTGCTCTGTTAACCAGGTCTGAGCCCATAAGCAGAAAAGAAGGCTCTAAGTAGGGACTCTGGATGTATAGAGCTATATTCTACTGACACCCTGAGGCTGCTTTTGGCTTAATTAGAATTCTTGCTTAAAAATGAAGGTGGCAAATGAAGATTGCAGATCTGTGCTGGTGGATGTTTAATTATCAGGTTTAATCTCCCCATTGTCAGTACTGGTTAGATTAGCTGGCAGTAACCAATCACAGAGGACATGGGCCTGAAAAGATAAGTAAAGCTTGAAGGATCATTCTTGCAAATAGACATTGGATCTTAAAATCAAGTCAAATTGTAAAGCTCTAAAAAAATAAATGAATTGAATTCTCAGTATCAGTACTGGTGGGGGAGGGGACAAAGTTTTGATTTTTTACTGTTCCTTGAAAGATAAAAACATTTCCAAGACTGTTTTCAGAGACTGCTTTATACTCAGTACATATGCTTTGATACAACAAAGTACTGCTCTACTAGCAAGGTTGCAACTAAACACTATATTCTGTGGCTTAGAATTCATTTTGCCATAGGCTTGACTTGTGTCTTTGTTGCTCTGTAAGTGCTGCATCTGCAGTGTTAGCTGCAAACAGGTTGAAGTCCAGATTGCAAATACTAGTCAGGTTGTACTCCTGTAAATCATCCAGGTATGAGTTTTCAATGTAACATTCTTAATCAAAAGATGGACAATGCTTTAATTCTTTTTCAGAGTAGAAACCATATATGAAAATAGAGATTGTTATGAATTACTCTTCTTGTATTTGCCATATCATCTACTAGTCATGATCACACTAAGAGCTTCTGTGGCATCAAAACAATTTATTAGTAATATAATGTAATGATTTAATTTCCTTTCGTGAAGCCTAGCAGCTGAGAAGAACCGAATAAGGTTTCTATGAAAAGATTTAGAGCATAGGAATCTCTTAATTCTGTCATCATTTGAATGTTTTGCACTGTGAATATTGGTATAGTCTGGTTTTGCTTTCAAATTTAGTGTATGTATAGAAAATCAGAGTGCTAGAGATTAGCTGGCAGCTTGCCTGGTGCAAATCTGAAATACAGCAATAACAAGAGAACATTTTCCATGTGATAGATGGCTACTGTCTTCAAAGGTTCATTCCATTTCCTCTCTAATAATAAAACAACTGTGAAAACAAATAAATTTTTAGCTAAACACAGAGAATTTACAAGGGCATTTTACTGTTTCCAGGGCCCTTTGTTCCATATTTACAGCTGATGATTTCCAACCACCACAAACAAGATTTTTGTGGCCATGTATTTAGGACTGGTAATGAGTTGCCCAAATAGTCTTGTGTAACTATAATATAAAGGAAAATGTAGAGTGTAGCATATTAAAAGAAATTGATTGAATGTTTCAAATAAAGAGTAGTTTGGTTTAACTACACTTTATATGTACTCCACGAATGATACTCCAAATTATGAGAAGTTGTCTTTAAAGGACATGTAATCTCTGATGTTACAACACTGCATTTCATTCTGTTTTCTTTTTGCCAGATGTTACAACACTGCATTTCATTCTGTTGTTTTCTTTTTGCCAAAGTATGTCTTCAATTTTTAAATCTCAGTTTAGTGAACTCAGATTATTTATTTGACCTATCTGGTGGCTTTAATTTTGTTGTGCACTGCTCTCTCTGAAGCATGTCCTGCATTGCCCAGAAACCAGCGGAGACAAACCATGGGCATGGGTGAGGTGTTTTGTGGGGTTTCTGTTGGCATGGTTGTACAGAGTACAGAAGTTATTTACTTGGAATTATATTGCTGGAAATCTGCACGCCCATTTCCAGGCTGGGTATTGATCTGTCACGTGTTCTGAATATAAACACAGGCTGCACATAATTTTGCCGCTCATTGTAAAGTGAGTTAAAATCGAGGGAAGAAAAGCATCCTTGGCTTTCAGCAGACAAGCTTTTGCTGACACGTTCTGTATTCATTTACCGGAATTTAAGTTGTTACTTTGCAATCTGTTCTAATAAATGCTTTTTCTATGAAACAGTACAGATGGCACAGTACTGCGCAGGATTCTACCAAGATATAGTTCGTATAAAGAAGGGAATGATCCTTTCATTAAGGAAAGCCTTTTTGCCCCGTCATTTCGAATTTTAGAGTGGTGTGTGGAGATCCCGGACGGGCAGACAGGTAACCCAGACAGGTGTTGCTGGGGCAGCCCCGGGTGAGACAGAGGGCGCTGCGCGGGCTCTGCCGGCAGGGGGGGGGCGAGCCACGGGGGGAGCGGGGAGCGCTCCTGCTGGCGCATCCCTCCTCTGCCTCTGCCCAGAAACCTTTTTCCTTTTCTCGTGGTTTTTGCCTTTTTAAAAAAATAGAGATAGATGTGGGAAACACTTCCCAGTTGAGATGGGAAGGATATAAGCTTTGGCTGTGGCTTAGCATCACTGCGCTTAACTCCTCTTTCAGGTGGGTGCCTGCCAGTCCATTTATTCCACTGATGCCCCTGGGTTTTCATGCTGAAGTAGCACATGGCATTTCCTAGGCAGGCAGTAGAGCACACTTTGACCAGGTGCTGGTCAGAATGTTCATCACACCAGGACTTCTGAGTTCATCCTGTAGCCACACCTAAGTGCAGAGGGAGAAAATATCACACTCTCCCTCCTTGAGCCTCTTCTCCTGCACCATGTGCAGAAATATGTCTGTGTCTCTCAACTGAAACAAGGATGGGGGAAACTGAGATATACAGCAAAATGCAGTAGATTTTTCCAATGTCAGCTATTTTGGGTATGTAGCTGCAAACAAAAATTGTCAAAATCCAATTGATTTCTACACTGAACAGATACGAAATACAAATATTTTTTAATTCTCTGCTTTTTTTTTTGGTTGCAAAAGTAAATATGTGAGTTATGAAACTAAAAACTCAGCACAGATGCAGAAGTACAAATACTGAGTATTTAAAAAATCAGGTTTAATTTTGTATGTCTCCTTCCTGTGACAATAGATTCGTTTTTATATCTCCAGCAATTTCTGTCTCATAATAGTTAATAAGAGCCTGCTTTGTTGCAAGGTTAAATATTTTGCAAACCTTTTCTAGCATTCTGATTTAATTCTGATCCAATCACATAGATTGACTGTCCACTAAAATGCTGAGAAGTAAACAGAATTTAGCAGGTCAGAGCACAAAAGCTGAGAAGTAATATAATTTTGATGCAAAACCTGTTAGCTATTACAATTTGAATAACTTCTTTCTAAATAGGGAATTGCAATCAGAAGAAAAAGCACACTATTTTCTAGTGAAATATTTGAAGGAATTCAGCTATGTAATTTTTTTGATTTTGCTTTGCATTCTTGTGCTAATACCATTTTAGATGCTTAAACTATTTGTCTCCCCTTCCTTTCTGTCCTTTAAAATTAGTAATTACAAGGCAGAAGCAGAAGTAACTCTTGCATTCTAAGGAAATTGAATGACTGATTAGTGCTTATCATTCTAGAACTCTGCATTGGGTTTGTGTGTTGAGGTTTTGGTAGCAGGGGGCTTGCAGCAGGGCTACAGGTGTGGATTCTGTGAGAACCTGCTGGAAGCTTCAGCCATGTCCAATGGAGCCAATGCCAGCTGGCTCCAAGACAGGGCCACTGCTGGCCACAGCTGAGCCCATCAGTAACCGTGGTAGCACCTTTAGGATAACATA